AACCCTGCCCGTTCCCTCTGACGACCATCGACGTGTCTACGGCCCATCTCACTCAATTTTCCTCGGCTCTTGGTTCTTTGCGACACTTTGAAATGCAGCGTGTTCGCATCCAACCTGTTCGCGAGTAACGAATCTTCTGGCTTCATCTTGTATCACCACACTTTTGGAAATTCTCCGTGGCGCGTTTTGGCATACACCTACGGCTTTGCTTTACGGCCATCGATTGGTATGCTGGAATTTCCTGGAAGCAACTGTAACGTATGCCTAGTCACACGTAGCAGGCTACCCACGCAAGTCCGAGTCATTGTTAGAAAACTCTGGGGAACTGAAGAAATGTTAGGCTATGTCTGAATTAGAGAACTGTTCTCTTTGTATCTATGTATGTACCTGATAAACGAGGTGTTGGGTTTCGCACTGTAGTCGATGTAAAGAAGACCAAAAAGCTATAAAGTGTCGTTTGATTCTTGGGGGTTTGTCGGGGTCAGAGGAAGCTCAATGTACACAAAACTCCCTAATGTTCGTATCTGTTCATACGTTTAGATGTAACATTTCTTGTAAAATCTTGCCACATTTGTTAGTGCAGAGTGACAGTGACAGTAACCACATGATTGGCATTACCAAAGGTCGTTGTACTTGAAAAATGAAAGCGGACGATCTCACGCGAGCTACATCACAGTGCCTTCTTGCTTTTCCTCTCGAAAATGCTCCGAGAGACCCAATGACATCCGGTAGCGTCAATTTTGCCAATTGTATCAACAAGGCGTGCCGTCCCGGAGCGTCGAGACCCTTCCAGTGGACCAGCACTTGCTTTTTCGGCAACACGGGAGGTCACTTCAGCACACCGATCTTTCCACACCCTGATATTTTTCAATCGATTGGCTTGTCATCCTAGTGAACGTCCCGTGTATGCGCTCACCCAAGCCCTCGGTACCTAGGTAGTGTAGGTGAATGGAACGAAGGATCTGACGCCAGCAGTACGTTACGTACTAAACTGTCGGGTAAATCTCTACTCATCTCTACTCCTCGCCACTACTGGACCTATCCACGTTACTAATAGCTGAATACCAGATGATTACATTCTCCAAGCCATCATGTAGTTGTCGAGCAATAGCATATGTTCATTATAATCACATCGCAAGCATAAGCGAAGGCGATGCGGCTCGTGGCTCGAAGTCCCAGCATCCCCGTCCGGACATCGACCCCAAAACGACAGCCACGCCCGTTAACAAACGCCATACCCGCCACCACATCGAGGGTTGCATTGGAAGACGGCTTCTTGGTCCAAGTTCGAGACCCTTGGAAAGAGTCGTAATGTGGAGGGAGAAGCGGGATGACCTACATTTCACTCATAGATATAGCTAGTATGTCGATGGATTGCTTTCTTCCTAGGTATAAAAGATCGCATATGGCGATAAGGCTTGACGGGTTCATCGACGCGAGCTTATAGGGCTGGAGGTAATGCATAGTTAACATGGGTTCGTGCGTCGCTTCGAGGTATGGCGTACTTATGGCGAGCTGATCGTATTATCGAGATGAGATATCGACGGCTCAATGCCGTCTTGTTCCTGGGTTATAGTAGTCGACTGTCAAGATGCTCTTCCCGGAGCACCTCATACACGAGAACAGCTGAACATCCTGGAGCTTACATCAATATGAAAATGTGCAAAGTAGGTGGCTCTACGTCAACGTAGGCTCTAGGGTGGTCAGTTTTTCCCTTGTATGAGGTGGGAAGGTTATCACAGTTGTGTGCGGACATCGATAACGCCTAACGGATGCCAATCATAGTTTATCCTTTGCATGCTGGCATCGAGTGCTTGGAAACACGGCTGGTAAGGCTGCCGCTCTCAGGGTAGGTTCCTTGGTTCATGCGGAGAACGATTACTCCGCCTGCCGAGTGATTCTGAGACGTCAGCCGCAGACCTATCAGGCCGTGATACGAGTATCAGAGTGCGCAGTTCACGGGCGTTTTGTGATGTAACCTACCGCAGTGTGGACATGTAGTCACAATATGCCCAGGGCCGAGACACATGTACTGATCTGACTACGGGCCGACTACTCTCAGATGCTTCGAAGGATTGTGACGTTCTAGTTCGGACCAGCTCCCCAATCGCGATGGTTTACCGCCTCTACGCATACTGACCCACCAACGAGGCGTTCTTCGGGTTCTATTTGGGTCGCAAGCACTTGCTCGTGCAGGCTGCGGATGGTGTGAAGTGATTGTAGCGTCTCTTAGCGTTCTGCAGAACCATGGGATGAGTAGCTCGCGGTAGATCAGACGTGGCAAGCCAGGTCCTTGGGTCATACGAGACAGAGTAGTCTGAACCAGGCAGTTGGTGACTTCGGACGACGACGGTCTCCTTGCAGGGCGGAAGGCTAATGATTAGTATGTTGGGATAGATACTTCTACGCGGGTTTCGTGAGCCTAGGCACATATAGAGTGGCGGTACCAAGACGACCGAACTGTTTGAACTTGCTCCAACTTCTCCCTTCCCCACGAATCCAACGGCACGACGACAGCGGCTCGGGTTCATCTTGCCTTTCAAGCGGTGGTTCGTGAGTACGGGCCAACATGTACCAAGAAGAAGTCTGCTGAAATGTCCGCCAATCAGAGTTTTGTGCGTCTCCAGCCCGAACGATGCCTAAGAAGGCGAAGGGGTTTCTGCAGGCACAGTGCAGGGCTAATGCGCGTTCTCCGTCTCGCTACCTCAGACGGACCACACTGTTTCTGAGGCATAGCGCCCTTCCCACAAGCCAGTCGAAAAGGCCAGAAATCATCGCGCGATGAGGGTGCATCAAGAGCAGGTCACTGCGAGAGAATGCTCTACTTGAGACATCCATAGATGGTTTGGGAACGAGTTGGGATGGTCGGTTCGTGCGTCATACCTAGACAGGGTCAGGACACGTGCCGACCTGCCACCCGTGGACAGACCTCATCCAACGTTCGGACAACACAAACTCGTGTCCCACAAGCAAGTCAGCGGCGCAGCATCACAATGACGAAGCCTGTCCTAATCGAGTCAGTATCGTGACCCGATCAAAACAACGAGAAGTTTTTACGCGTCGGCACGCGTTTGTTGGGGAACCCCACCAAGCGGCGCTAACGCGGGAAAGAGTGCTCGAAACCGCCGGACGTTGCAGAGCTGACTACGCCACCCAGTGCTCACCGGAGCCTGGTTGGTGCAGCTTACGATCGAGGCTCTCATCGCAGGTGTCAGACCGGAGATTTATGGGACAGTTCGTGCTTCCCGCGCGTTTTTTGCTTACTCCAACCGGCAGAGCAGGCACAAGCAAGCTGAATAGTTCACAGGTCCACAGCAGGAGACCTCGATCGATGGCCACTCTTCATGGTGACCAAGTGGATCGAGGAGCAGTTGGGCTTCCCGCCACCGGACGTCAGTGATGAACCGCTAGGGATTGTGAACGATGACCCGGGACCACTTGTAGCGAGCTATTGATTTCCTCAACGGTTCTCGGAGGGTCGTTGCCGATAGTCAATTGGACGCGCCAGACAGTTCTGTACGAGAAGGCTCGCGATAGCATCAGTGCTGGGCGTTCAGTCAGCAGCAATCTCGCAGATCCGTGGTGGCTGGAAAGCCAATCCTGCAGGCAGCCTGTCGAGTCTCGACTCCATCGCAACACCACCAGAACCGATGATTTGGGCCTCTCCACAAAAGGATCCTGTTGGAAGGGGGGATTTTTAATCTCAACCTCTGCGAGCTACTACGCCGCAAAGATCTTTGCTAGACGCCCGTTGATTCCGTCTTGGATGCTGTCGCGCTTCGGTGTGGAAAGCCCTTTGTCCGTTGTCGCGAATCACGATGCACGAGCTGGGAAAAGACATGCGAGCTGACCGTGCTGCCTTCGGCTCCTTCGAGCCAGTGTCCTTGCGCATGCGAGCCCTGTTCCTGAACCCAACCGTAATCCATGTCTGCAGACCCGCCCTCTGCTACGAATCCTAGCCGTCCTCGCATGTCTTGGCCACTAAGCTTCTGGGGGTGAGGCCGCGCTAAACCAGGGGAGAAGTGTACCTGCAGGGGTGAAGATGGTCCGTTCCCTTTTGGATCGCCGCACCCACTTGACCTACCCCCAGGCCGCCCAACCAGGAGCCACATTCAAGACCAGGCCGTCTTCCTGCATCACTGCGGCTTCGCTCTCATGCCGTGACGGCTTTTCTTACTTCTGCCAAAACGTCCCGTCGTTCTTTTTGCATCTGCTCGGCCCTACGCGCCCTTAATCCGACCAAAACCTTATTCACTCTTTAGACTCTCCGCGTTCGAGCTAACGGCAACCAACTCACTCCACAATCGTTTCGTTTTCTCATCTGCGACATCCGTTCCGCCTGACACTGCCTATACTGTCACCAGTTTCATCTACACGGCATTGTCTTCCAAGAAGCCATCCTATACCAGCCCACGTCCGCGCTTGACTGAAGCTCAGAGACAGTCTTGCCGGTAGGGTCCACGTACTGCCTATAACCCTGTTACATCGCACTTTGGACAAGAGTGGGGATCACCGCTGGAAGGACTCTCATGCTGCATATTAACTGAACGCTTCGGTTCGTTTGGTGAGAAGTAAGAATATTTGACATGGCGAACACCACACTGCTGCGGGGACAATGCCCGCCGCCTTTCTATGATGTGTCGAAATTTGGATTCGACGGCTGTAAGTGCTCTAATTCAGCTTTTATACAGTTGCTGACATTCATAGTTCTTGCTGGAAGGTTTTGTGCGCCGGTTACACCAGGCAGTGACATTATCTGCTGCTTGCCCTGTCCTCTGACAGACTTCCTGTACCCAGAAAGTAGGTACCTGGAAAGCCCACATTGAGATTCACGTTCCTAATCTTTTCTAGGTTTCAATACCGCCTATCGCGCAGCTGAAGCGCTCAATGTGGCTGGTCTCATCTGTCTGGTCATCCTGCTCATCACGTACTTGGTCTTGCCGGCCGAAAAGACTCGTCGACATTATCTCAGCTATTGTCTCATCATAGCCGCAATTCTTATGGCAGTAAGTCTGAACTCAGCCTACCCAGCCTGCATATGCTGATCGACTTTAGCTTGGCTTTGTGATACCCTTTGGTGCTCAACCAGAGCAGTGCTACGATGAGATCACCCCAAACGATATGTACTCAAGTCTGACGTGTGCTTTCTCCGGTGCTTTCCTCATCTCGGGAGGTATGTCGATGGCAGTTTGGATCTTCATTCGCGCTCTCTCAATGCATCTTCAAATCTGCTGGGACGTCACGCCAGGACAGAAGTTCTTCTACTGGGCGCAAGGTCTGGGTTGGTCAGTTGCGGCCACGTTCTTCACCATCACTATCACGATCACTGGAGTCTCGTTCAGATTCGGCGACGTCTGCCACGTCAATGCCGAGCACTCAATGAAGGACTTTTGGGGTCCCTTGTTGGCCATTGCAGGTGCAGCTATGGTTATTCAGGTCGCAACGTAAGTCAATCGGGAGAGACAATGAGACGACATTACTAACATCGTTATCAGCTTCGTATACTGTATCAAGGTGTATCTTCAGAACATGTTCAGCGACGACAAGACCGAAACACAAAGTAGCGCTGGCCTCCCCTCTTACACGACCAGCATACGGAACCGATCTGCACGAGCTGTTTACCGGCGTGTTCGCAAAGTCCTATACCTGCAGTGGCGCGGCATAACCATCGTGGTCTTCATCCTCGTGGACGTCATCTTCTTCTCTATCGTTTTTATCTGGCTGAACTCCGTAACATCGCACGCCACTGAGGACCTCGACAAATTCCTTCCGTATGTCTTTTGTCTGGTAACACACGCCGACGACGGTCCAGAGCCATGTTATGCACTCGGCCAATCTCTCGCTGTCGACCAATCTACAGTGACAGCAATCTTGATGATGCTGTCCATTGCCGGTCTTCAAGTGTTCTTCCTGCTTAGCCGATGGAGCATGGTGGTCGGCTGGCGAGATTTGATCAGAAGCAAGTTCAGTAAGAACCGCGAATTCGTATCCTTGGACGCCAGGAATCCCCAGGAAGATGTACGCCATTTCGAAATGAAGAACTTCGAGCCGAAATCGACAGCAGATGCATACTATGGTACTCCTGGACTTGCTAGCTACGCTATGGGGAACGAGCGATCGGACACCCCGGATCATTTCCACAAAGAAACTCAGCGCGACTACAAGAGCCCGACACTGAGCTTTTCGACTCCAAGACCCCAATCACGGGCGGCTACCCATGTCGACTGGGATCCTAGATCATCCATGGCAAGAGGAGGACTCGGACTGCATCCTCCAGACTACGAATCTAAGATCTGAGCATGAATACAACAATTTTCCTTCGCTACACTCCATCACATCATATTAGTGCTGAATCTGGGATGATCATGCTCTGGGTATGAAATCAACCGTCTGATTTACCCGTCACTACACGCGAGCCGCTTCAAGGTTCCCAGTTCAGCGAGTTGCAGTCGCGAGACTAGCACACTTGGCCATGCACCAGCATATGGCCATGGGTCGCGACAGAGGATACGCGGTCTTTGCGCGAGACCATGATATGTATCAGCCTCAACGCAGCCATTCTCATGTCAACGAGTGACGCCATTCCTTTTTTGTCTCTGAACTACATGTCAGACCATTAGCTTGGCATCTCTGACTAAGTGTACTGCTGATATAGAGTTCAAAGACTCTCACACACTCTATCGCTGATTCATCGCCAAAGACGAATGAGGGGTTGGGCATCACTACACCCGCCCCAGCACACGTCGCCTTGTATGAAAGAATACATGGGTGTGTATGCAGATGACAGTCTGTCACTGCAACAGCAACAGTCTTGTCGCCTGGCCAAGGCCGTGGTAGTTCCTTTCTCCGGGTCGTTTCTTACTGTATTCTTACATATTCGTTCGTTGCACGGAATGGAACTCGGTGCAACTCATCCGTCCCTGTATCATCATTGCAGGCGATCTTCTCGCCCTTGTACGGAGTCGATCATTCGCATGTACCGGATTCAGCATCGCACGAAGCCACAAGCTCGTCGGCTCCCACGCTTGCCTTCCACGCGAACTTAAGACCCGCTTCTCTTGGTAGTAGCTCTACCATAGCTCACATATATAGCCAGTATAGTTATCCTACAATAAAATACGTAAATTAAGAGCCGAACGCATCGAAAACCTTACTTCTACTCGCGTACCTCCACCCGTCCGCTGCCGCATGGATCGGCTGAACGTCCAATGCCGTTGTGCGATCGCTTTTGAACGGGCCGGGACCTGGCTTGTACCGGTAATATGGGTAAATTCGAAGCATATGCTATGTCGATCTTGGCAGGGTCAAGGAAGACGTCGCCGAGCAAAAAGAAACAGCACAGAAAATGTGGTAATGGGAGGCACATCCTTTCCTCCCTGATGATGGAACCCTTGCTCGGTTCCATCAGCGACGTCGTGTTGAAGACAGACTTTGACTAGTCGTTCGTGTAATGACATGCGCACGCGGGATTTTGCGAACTTTACTCGATAACAGCGAATGAGCGTTATGCCGTGCTTACGCCCCATTCTTCACCATGCCATTGGGTCGCTATACCATTTTCAGAGGGATTCCTGACACCTCCGTACTCCGCACCTCTCTCCGCCCAGCAGCAGCGACCAGAACCCATCAATGCGATGCAGTCTTTCGACTCCACCTTTCAAAAAGAATTGTTTCCACTTCCGCGGCTGCAGGAGCAAGGGAATCAGGTCACATTCACATTGCATGGTGGGAATGGATCTGCACTACTCCTTCCCTTTGCACATCCTCCTCAACAAAAGGCCCCAGTTTCCAGAACATCGTTCCCCGGGAAGACACGCGACTGACATGACGGAGGAACGTTATGGAAAGAGAAGGTCCCCCTTCCACGTGTGGGTACACGGGCGCATCTTGACAGCGGCCCCTTGTTTTTATCGGTATAGCGAAACGCCTCTTTAGGAGCAGGCATGAACGCGTGCTCGGCTCGAGCTGCAGGAACAGGTATCTGGGCCGCAGAGCGGTTGGCCTGACGTGACATGGGTGTTGCGTGGCCCGCGCGTCTCGAGGCAGGATTTATCCAACGGCTCGGCTCAGCAGGCCGTAAGAGCAACCGAGATTGAGGGCTGATGTGCCCTGGGGGGAAATGCTGGACGCGATAGCGAAGTCGGTATCTGCGGGATGTATTGACTTGTCAGACATGATAATTTCGGCACTTATAGCCTTACGTGGTGCCTCGTGGACGGTCCGATAGAAGAGTTGTCGACGAAAGCATGGGTTGTGGGAGCGGCTTCGAAGTCGGACGTTGAGGCCCCACACGAGGCATGAAAGTCGACTCAGTTTCAGCTTGCGTGCGATAGATGTACGCAGGGCTCCTGACAGACTCTGCGACTATGCTCCGTTTTCCATGTGCGCCTGAATAAGAGAAGTGGACCGGTCCGCGGCGGAAAGATTTGTTATTATCCGCGTCGCCTGCAGCATCAGGCTCTCCCTTCGTACAGTTCGGCGTGATAGTCGTGCAGCTCCACCTTCATGTACTGAACGCTCCTTCCAGTCGCCCTCGAGCCTGCTACACACAATTAAGGCCGATAGCACCCATACGAAGTATACCTTCTAATCATCGCAGGCTTGGAACAATACATGTCTCGACATGACCATGCTACTATGAGCACTGGAATATGCTGCGTATGCCTTGACAGCTGACGCGCACTAACTCAGCAAAATCGGCCTGCGATGTTGCACATCTCTACTGCGCTGTTCGCTGTTAAAGCCAGGAAGCCCTTGCGCAGGCCAGTGATGAATATCTGATAGTGCATAGGTTCCTAAGAAGAGCGGATGTCAGTCGGTGCAATTAGCGTGGTGGTGTGACAGCTTCCACTGCTGGCTGGCGACTCCACTACATCCTGAATCCCAGACCGAAATTACCTAGTATTGCATAGCAGAGTCTGGCTAAAACTTTTAGAATCAGCTTAAATTTAACGTCGCACAAGATGAGCTTTCAACACAGGCGCTGATGTCACAAACACATTGTTCACATAAGCCATGTCTCCCGTAACACCAGGCACAGATCTTGGAGCCCACCTAACTCTTACTCATACTCCCCCAGAAAGCATCATTGACAAAGTTAAGTAACGGAGTCGCAACATATGGCACAAGAACGTGTGCGTGTTCTAGACTTTAAGGATCTAAACAACGTCATGACTTCAAGGGTCAGGGCGAAGGGGAAGGAAGGCGATACCCCACCATGTAGCGTACCTAGGTGTACGTACCAACTCCATCCCCACTTCCATCGTCATTACCAAGCAACGAGGTACGACTTTCGACTTCCGCCATCGCCAACACGATCAATTCGCATATCGCACTGTACAGCTCTTCCTTAGCCCCACAGTCCACACCCACTGCTTGTATCCAAAGCTAGCATGGTCGCGATGGGAGGTGGTCCAGATTTACCGTCTCGAAGTGCATCGAAAGAGAAGGAGCTTGTGCTGTGCGCATTGCACTGGCCTCAAGAGCTATGCGAGCGTGGCCTAAAAGTTCTCAGAGAAGCTTTTGACGATGTGGAAGTGAAGTACTTCCAAGTCAAGTGGGATAGTGGCAAGTCGGAGATGGACGCACCTGAAGGTTAGTTGGCAGTAAACACACACACACTTGCAAAGTATCGGATGTTTTGAAGAAGGCGTCGAAACCGAGATGACGGGTTCGCGCGTTACCAGTCGTCCAACAAGGACATTCATCTGCAGCTGCAGAGCTTCCATGCTTCCCGCGATTATACCTGTTACACAATGAACGTGGCTAATATCATCCCAGACGACATCAAGCGCGCAACCTATATTGCGACGCTATCCTGGCTCCCGGAATCCGCATCCTTCATTCCAAACACCAAGCTCATCCAATTCTTCTCTGCAGGCACAAACCACGTTTCCAGCCACCCAATCTACACTGACTCTAAGATCCCGCTATGCTCTGCCAATGGCGTTCATGGCCCGCAGATTGCCGAATGGGTCATCATGATGAATTTGGTGCACAGTCATAGCTACACCAAGCTTTATGACAACCAGAAGAACAGGGTTTGGGACCAGAAAGTGGGACTTAGTGTGAGTGATCGGGTGGGGAAGAGAGTGGGTATATTGGGTTATGGTAGCATTGGTCGACAAGGTATGTTTAATCAACTTCGAAAAGCCGGAGTGGCACAGCGGTTGCTAGCATACTTGCTGCATATGGAAGCTATGCTAATCCACAGCAGTCGCTCACGTAGCAAAGGCAATGGGCATGGACGTAATAGCCTACACAGCCTCACCACGCAAAACCACAGAGTCCAAGCACGACAACGGGTACATCGTCCCTGGAACCGGTGATCCTGATGGCAGTATTCCCAGCGCGTGGTACAGCGGAACTAGCAAAGAAGATGTGCACGAGTTCTTGAAGCAGGAAATCGACCTATTGGTGGTTGCTGTGCCGCTAACGTGAGTAATCAGCCCATGTCATGTACTGAGAGACAGGTCGATCATTTTTCACTAACACATAAACTAGAAAAGCGACAACGCATCTCCTCTCCACCGAGGAATTTGAGCTCCTGCATAAGTCCAATCCAAAGGGCACCTACATCGCGAACATCGCGCGGGGGCAAATCATTGACCAGAAGGCTCTCATCACTGCTCTGGAGAAGGAACATATCAGTGGTGCTGCCCTTGACGTTACTGATCCCGAACCTCTGCCTAAGGATGATCCGCTGTGGGATGCACCAAATGTGCTGATCACACCGCACTGCAGTGGAGCGTCAGACGCGTATGCCGACCGCGCGTTCCAGTTATTGATTGAGAACATAAAGAGGGACCGAAGTAACAGCAAGCTGATCAATGAGGTGAACCGCGAGAGAGGCTATTGAGCCAGCACAACAGCCTAGACTATAGCTCCGTAGAACATTCAATTCGAATTGATAGATCGATATAGGGTATCATAGACGCCCTGTGTAGACTCCAAGTAATAGACCATATGCCTAGTCGTACAAGACTCTCCTGCTTTCGTCTCAACAGCCAGAGCAGGGAAACGAGAAATCCGCGCAAACACCAAAACGTCCGTGTATCACCGCCTGAACAGCCCAGAGATCATGCCGCCAGCCAGATTCCTCGCGAGACCCGAACCGTACATGGCGTTTGAGGCGAAGCCCGTCGCTTGGCTGAACTTGTCGCATCGGGAGAAGGCGAGGGTATTCGTGATGGTAAGGACGAGCGCGATAACTGAGACCAAAACGTTAGCACATGCTCCTTTCGTAATCACCTCGAAAGAGAAGGTCACCACATACCAACAAGCGTCAACCAAATAAA